GCTTCTTTAAGTGTAACATCTCTATGAGAGTTATAGGTCACTTTTTAAAAGTTAAACTTTTTTCTTGAATTGGATTACTTGCTCGGATCTAGTGTTCTTAAAACTACCCCACTAGTTAGCTATATCTTTTAAAAAGACATTGGAATGACGTAATATTATCGTTTGATGTTGGGCTCACTCTAGCTTTAACTTGCTTATAGAAATGTGGTCTCTCTCTTCATCATTAGTTTATATTGTATTGTACCAAAGGCTATTAAACCATCTCTATTCCTTTTTTTCAACTATTGTATTCATGATTTGATTATCCATATGCCTTAATATGTGTTATGATTGATCTATGCAAAGATCATGATCATTAAACCATCTTTATTTCTTTTTTCTAATTTGTGTATTCATGATTTGATTATCCATCAGCTCTAATATATGATGACACTATGTTAAATTATTGCTTATCCCCTAAGTTGTGTCTAGTTGCTTACTTTAAGTTATGTCTAATTGCTTGAAATAGATGCATCTTCATTAGTTTCGATTGTATTAAGTTCATCATACTTTGAAAGAATTCAACGAGGAACCGTATGAGGTGAAAATCTAATGTACAGTTATGTAAAGTGGTGGTAAAGGTGACTTATCTATCAACTATTGTACTATCACTTCTAAAAAAAAACTCTACCTTACGTAAAGTTGCTAGATTACGATTAATCTCCGGATTTGAAATCAATACTTATATACATGGTATAAGCCATAATTCACAAAAATATTTTATCATCTTAGTAAGAAAGGGAAGGGCTAAGGATTACGAGATATCATATTGTTCGAGGAATCCTATATGTTGTTGGAGTAAAGGATCATCAACAAACATGTTCTAGTGCATTGTAGATTTTTATCCAAGACTTATATTGTTTGATGATGTTATATGAATATTTGGAAACACGTAACGTGTATGACTAATCCAATAATAAGAGTTTCATAAAGGAATTGAAACATGCTATCATGAGATAAAAGATCTTCTTTCTAAAGAGATTCAAACTATTTTATGCCTAAGGTCTAGTATTTGAATAATTTCAACATGCTTCCCGATTTTCTCCTCCATCAATTTTTTTCCTAAAATTTGCAAGCCCATTAAACTAATCGGAATCATCCATAGAAAAGAGGATATTTAGAACCTTAATATCACATCATTTCATTATGTTAGAGAGTAATTCAAAGGTAAATATACCTTTTTATTCTTTTATAAACTCAGTCTCACATCTATTCCTAAATTTTCAATTGCATCTCATTTATTGTTCAAAAATTTTGAAATATTCAATCTATTATTTCGATCAAAATTTTCAACCATAGAATTTTTTTAATGAAAATATCCTTTATTAAAATACAAAAAAAAAAAAACTTAAAGTCACATGACCTTCTTGTCTTATTTTTGAAGTCTTTAAAATTTTATTTTATTAGTATTGTAATTTTTTTTTAATTTTTTACATTTCAATCACGAATATTTCGATAAAAAAATTATTTGACTGGAAAATTTTATTAAAAGGATAAATTTAACATTTTAAATACTTTTATAGACAAATGAATGCAATTAGACATATAAGGACATGTAAAGAATTTTGAGTATTATAAAGAATAGATAAATATATTTATCATAATACAAAACCATTCCTAGAACCTCATTCAATAGTTTAAAGTTTTTTATTAAAATTATTCGTTTTACATAATATCAAAACCTTGAAAACCAAACGGTCATAATCAAAATTAATGACAAGGAAAAAGATGATGAATAGTATTTTCTTATCTATACTTATGATTGTAGTAAGCGTTTTTATATATAGTGATACGATTACGTATATATAGAACTCTATGAGATAACATATAAAGTGAATCCATCTAGCTTTCATCTTATCTCATGTATAACTAGTTGAGATGTTCATGAAGTCTTTTGCTATAAGAGTTGCTATCAACATCAATGACTTGTTTTCTATTGTGTCTAGTAAAGAATTTGTTACTCTAGCAGATCACTTAATACTCCGCCACAAACTAAAAGTGGATATTTGCCAAGAGTGAGTTTGTCCCTAAAGAAACTAAATCATGCATTAGATAAAAATTTTATCAAAATATCTATAATTTAGTCCCGAGTGGAAATATATTGCTCATGTAAGCTCCTCCTTACTACCATTTCTTTGATAAAATAGAAATCAATTTCCACATGCTTGGTACATGCATGAAAGATGAAATTTGTGTATGTTTCCCTATTAGTGTTACACCATATGATAGGTGGAGAATTTGGAGAGACACTTAATTCACCTTAAAAAAGTAGCAAATCAAGATAGTTGTGTTGCAAAATCTGTAAATGCCTTATATTCCGCTTCTATAAAGTCTGCGGACTACCATTTTCTATTTGGACGACTTCTAAAAATTGAGATGTAGCCCAAAGTAAAAAGCAATGGTAGTAAGAGAGTATTGAAGTAAGGACGCATCGAATTATTAATGGTTTAACCATTGGACTCGAATGTTTCGTCGTTATCAATATCCTCTACACGGTAGTAGCCTTTAGCTACTAACCTTGCCTTGTATTGTTCAAAGCATTATTTTGTAAAATGAGGTTTAGTACTTTAATGTTGGGATGACCCGGGTAAGAGTGCTAAATCGAAGTAGAGACACGGACAAAATGAGCTTGAGTAGTGGGATGGACTAAAAGAGAAGGTAGAGAATAAAGATCGAGTATCGGTCTAGTATGAAAGAAGAGTGTTCTTATACATTTAGTCTTTGAGATAGAAAATAGATGGGTGAAATTCAAAAACTACATTATTGTCACGAGTTAGTCTTTTGACTAAAAAAAATGGTCTAGCCATTTTAGGAACATGTAAAACATCAAGTAGTTTTTATGTTTTGGAAGGAGTAGAAATATAATTAGTGCTCTCCGAGGAATTTTCAAGCACTCACCATTACCAACTAGAAGGTAATCAAGACCACGATAGGGCTTATATAACCGAAGCTTGGCGGATCGGATGTCACATGGTGTGTGGCATCGGTATCGAGACATTAAGAATGGGCATACGACATAGCAAAAGAAGCAACCAAGACATTAGCGAGATAGTTGCGAAGGAGGGAATTGCCTTTGGGAACAATGTATTGCTGTTTCAAGAGGAACATAGTCGACATTTTTGTTTGTGATCATTCAAGTGCCAAGGATTTCTATATTCTAACACATAGTGATTACTAACAAATTGAGGAGAAAATTTACCACGACCATGCCTATGAAATTATCTACCTCTACCATGGGTGTAGTTATTGAAACTGTTAGTATAAGGACTAGTGGGCTTATGAATGAGGTTGACGAGTAAGAGAGCTTGGTAATAGGGAAGACGTTGATGGTGAAAGAGAAGAAGCGAGACAAAAACTCGTGGTTTAAAAACTTATGAATAACCAAGAAAGTGTGAAGGGTCGTGAAGATTACTAGTTTTGGCTTTGTGAACAAGATAGTGATGATGTCTTTGAAGTCACTGGAGAGAAATTTGAAGAAATATAGGTTGAAATCTATGAAAGATATGGTTTAGCCTATTGAAATAAGTTCATCACTATGTGATTTGGCATGATGGAAAAACTAGGACGGTGGTTCATTGGGTTCTTGGCGGAGCTTTTGCATGGCAAGATACGGGGTCATGGTGCGAATATTAGATGGAGATGCGAGTTCACTCTCAAGTAGGTCCACTCTTTATGGGAGGTGGTGCGGTTAATGACCAATGATAGCACATCAATGGAAAGAGAGGAAATGATTGTGCTCATGAGAGATTGGTCTTGTTAAATCCAAGTAAGCCTTAAGGGGTCGTTTGTAGATTCGAGTGGGAGTGAAAATTTATTGGGGGCAATGGTTGGAACCATCAATAAAGTCGAAGAAATCTTGGCTTACGAGGAAAGGCTTCATTTGTACATGCCATAACGGATATTTTGAGTGCGTGAGTTTAAGAGAGAGAAAGTGATAAGAGTTGGCAAGTTGACCCGAGTACGGTGTTTTTTGTGATAGCGACGGTAGCATTGATAGATGAAGTAGTACTGGAGGAAGTCATTAGGAGAGGTGTAGGAAAACAAGGAAAAGAGTGAGCAATAATGATGCCAAAAAAGAAAAAAAAAGCTTTGATACCAAATCAAAATTAATGGCAAGAAAGAGGATGATGAATAGTATTTTATTGTTCGTACTTATGATTGTAGTAAGCATTTTTATTTATTGTAATATAAGTTCTATATGTATATAACTCTACAAGATAATATGTGAAGTGAATCCATCTAGTTTTAATCTTATCTCTAAGTATAACTAGTTGAGCCGTGCATGGAGTCTTCCGTTGTAAGAATTAGTGTCCGCATCCATGACTTGTCTTCTATCATGTCTAGTGAAAATTGGTTACTGTAGTAAAGTTTTGGCTGAATAGTCATGATTTGAATCTCAAGCAATCTTATTTTTTAAAATAATTAATTAAGTATAAGATAATAATGAGCTTGTGTAAATTTTAAGTTTAAAGGACTTTTACTTGAAGAAATATATGCAAATTCTAAATCTAAAAAGCTTTCACTTGAATATAAAATAATTTTTAAAATCTATTCAATAGTTTAAGTTGTTAGATTGAGTTGGTTGTTTAATACTTCGCAATAAAAGAAGCAAGTCGACTTGTTAAAGTATGGAAAGATATTTACACCACCTTTTAGATACACTATCAATACACGCCAATATAAAGATGGGTCTACTTCTACGTCCATGGAACATTGCAGTTAGTTTTTCTACATATAAATTATTACACATATGAAATAGTGATGGTTTCAAGCAGCCCGAACATTACAATCATACATAGACGCATTACTATATCCGGAGTATTAAGCAACCTATTCAACATTTTCACTTCATTGGACCAAAAATGGAGTCCCAGGCCCTTGCCCAACCTCTTGGTGTATATATATATATGGATAACAACATAGGGCAACATTCCAGCAACAAGGAGTTGATTTCCAATCTCTTATTCATTAAGGTGGCGAAGCATCCAAGCAGGCAGTAGTGCGTTGGCTCGATGCTGGATTGGAGGGAGTTCCTCCTCATCTCCAATTCCTCTCGCCAGATGGCTGCTTCTGCATTGCATGATATAATAAAAGCCTGCTTTAGTTGCTTAGCATGCACGGAGATGATGGTGAAACATGGCGTGCTTCAAGGTACGTATTGTAAAACAATTATACATACATCTCAATTAGATGATAATTGTAGTTTCCTATCATTACATCATATAAAATTTTACTTGCTATATATTTCTATGAAATGAACGGTACGTCAAGTGTGTCTTATACTAGTGCATGCATTGAGAGAAAGAGTACCTTATATTTAAGGGCTGCATTGGCTGTGGCAGAAGAATTGTAGGTGAATCCAAGACAGGATTTTGCTGTTCCCATTCTGCTTGTTGAGCTATTGCCTTCTCCTTTTCCTTAACCTACCCGTTCCCAAAATTAGATGCACCACAAGTGACACAAATGGAGTGGTAGAAGCAAATTGACATTTAGAAATTAAATGGAAGGGATCATATATTTTGTGAACATGTAATTGAAAAATGGTATAAAATTCCAGAGAAACTTTTATTTTTAAACTGTAGCGATAATTGATAGAAACTCAATTAATAAGCACTTAATAGCTGTGTTAAATAATAAATAAAGAGGAAAGTAACTTTTTACGGGACTATTTGTAAGTATGACACTAATAAAAATTCTCACCTTCTTTGCAAGCAAGTTGTTTTGCTCCTGGAGCGCCTTATCCTGTAAAGAAGATGGTCCTTTTTAGTTTTTTTTGGTATGTACATAAATTATTACAAATTAAGCATCCAAGCAGAGCTCCAAACAGGACATAGTCTATTGCTGTTTAGGCTAGAATTAAGCATGCAGCTATTTAAGCCCCACACAATTTTGAGAATCATTTAAATTTTTACTTTCACTAAAAGAAATAAATCGAAAAAAGAAAAAGAAATAATTTTTGTTTTTAGGGAAATTTTGACTTTTAATCTCCAATAGGATTAATTTAAATAGGTTCAAGTTTTGTTTTCTTTAATTCCTGAATGGCCTATGTTTTTCCTACTTTTATACTTCTCCCATAATTTATTTAAATATATAATTTGTGAACATGTTTTTCAATTATTCAATTTAAAAAAAAAATTCCAGTTTAATAAGTATATACACCTTTCTATGGATAAGAATATTTAGCAAATATAGTTTAAAATTTTTAGGGCAGGTTTCATTTAATAACATGTATATACAATTCGATTAAATTTTATAGGTTTTGGTTTCATTTCATAATGTATCATATATTCAAAATCAAATTTTATAACTCAATGCTGCCAAATTTAGCTTTGTTATCAGGAATTCAGTACTGTAACATCCATTAAAATCTATAAGTTTGGTTTCATTCCACAAGTTGGGTAAATTAAAAAAACAAAAAAAGAGGACTAATAATTCTGCCGCAGCCAGAGGCCAGGGAAGAGGCTGGACTTAAAATTCAACTACTGTTTTCGGGTCGGCCCAGACTCTTTCACCGTTGCACGGCATTTCTTTCATTTTAAAACAAAATTAATCTCGAGCAAAATGCTTTTTTCTTTTTTCAATTGATTTGATCATAAAAATATTTTTGAATTAGTGTATATATTGATGAAGATTTAGTACTCTAACCTAATACGTTTATTAAAATTTTAGGTGAGATTCTAAAATATAATTTATATTATTTTTGAATATATTAGGATATAATTTTTATTATTTTCTAATATACTTTTTAAGTAAAAATTTTTTGAGTTTAAAACTTACACAAGCTCATCAATATTTTTTAATTTAATTAAAAGTACCATCTTTGTTCTTTTTTCAATTGATTTGACCATAAAAATATTTTTGAATTAGTTTATATATTGATGAAGATTTACTACTCTAACCTAATATGTTTATTAAAATTATATGTGAGATTCTAAAATATAATTTTTATTATTTTTTAATATATTAGGAATAATTTTTATTATTTTCTAATATACTTTTTAAGTAAAATTTTTTTGAGTTTAAAACTTACACAAGCTTATCAATATTTTTGTATTTAATTTTTAATTTAATTAAAAGTACCATCTTTGTTCTTAATTTTTAATTTAATTAAAAAAATGAAATAATAAGATTCAAACTGCTTATCATTTGGTTAAACTATGATACCATATCATAAAATTATTTAATTAAAGAAATTTGAAGTGTTAGATGAGATTGTAGCATATAATTTATATAATTATTTATAAATTTAGATAGCTGATATTGAATTTTATTTAAAAAATTTAAGCCTTTCTAATGAGTGAGTTTTTTATACTCATTTATTATTTATTTATTTAATATAAACCCATCTTTTAAAGTTATATTGTTAAGATTGAACTCCATAAAAATAAAAATAAAAATGATGGGTGATCTTTTCTAATAAATTTTATATATTACTCATCTATTGTTAACATTATCTAAGTATGTAATAATAATAAATAAATAAATAAACAAGTTATTCAATTTCACCAAATGCTGGAGAGAAAGAAAGAAAAAAAAAAAAAAAGAGTCAGCTAGGGATTACCTTCTTTTGTAGCTCTGAAATGGATTCATACATCAATTGATTCTGTAAATATTGGAAATGGCCATATTAATTAGTTACATAGACCCTTTTAATATAAGGTGCCGAATTTCCGAAAAGTTGAGGCACTGACACTACCTTTCTTGACCTCACGTGTTTAAGTGCTGAATCTATCTGGTGCTCCAAATTTTGAAGGTCTTTGAGGCTCAAGGAATCAAGCTCTTCTCCCATGAAATGCCTGCAAACATATATAATTAACAGCGACAAAGTTTTCTTACTGGAGGCATTAACTCTACTTGAAGATTTGCATTCATCACAAAAGCTCATACGTACCTTTGGTTTCTTTGTAAAACCTCTACCCTAGCCTTGAGCTTTGCATATTCCAAAGTCCAGTTACCCTGTAAATATTGATGTCATTTCTTAATATATATACATTCATAATCATATTTTATTAAAAATAGAAAAAAAATTAAGAAAAAGGAAAAGGTTGCTATTTTATCTGATCTTCCAATACAAATCTGAAATTCGATCCACCAACTCTTGTCCTTCATATATAAGCTTTATGGGTAACCATTTTGGTTTTGTAATAAAAGGCATGCTTGTTTCATGAGAATACATGATAATTGAGCTTGAAATGCAGCAATTTAGTTTTTAATAAACTCATCTAACTAGCAGACTCATGACATACATTGCTTTCAGTATCATCATTTGCTAGAAGCTGCCTCTCAGCATATGAGTATCTTTCATAACGTTCAAGGATTCTCTCCATGCTGTACCCATAAAAAAACATGAACATTATGAAAATTCAGCTCCATCAAAATCAAAATCTTCCATGATATAAGAATTAAAAGCATGAGAAAAACAATAAAGAATTCTCAATAGTTATAGAATTTTCACTTGCATTAAAAGAACATTTCAGCAAACTGTATTGTATATATGGGAGTGGGTTTGGGGAGACAAGATAATGTTGAAAAAAAGCCATAACTGATATATATATATATATATATAGTTGAGAATATTTCATCTATTATCGTAATTAAGTTTTTTTGAATAAAACTGAACCTCAACTATCAAATTTAATATAATATTAAAATATTATTATTCAAATGATCAAGAGTTTAAATCTTACAACTTCTACTTTATTTTTTAATTAATTAAAATAAAAATTGAGCACAAAATAGTGTAGGTTTTTATAAATTTTCAAATAATGTTTACTTAAAATGGTAGGTTAAAAAATAATATAAATTATATTTTTAAGTACAAAAAATTTTCACTTAAAAATATTTATTAAAAAATATTATAAATTATATTTTATAATCACACACCATGACTTAAACTTTTGAATACTTAAGATGGATTTTTGATATATCAAAATCAAAAGATCATACCAAGCTTCACACAAACAATTCTAACCAAAAATACACGAACTGAATAATGCTACATGTACAACCACATTACAAATCTTTGACGGTTGAGTTTTTAGGCTTGAAATTGTTATCGTAGTGCCTCTAAAACTCGATTCTTTGGCCCTTTGAAACTATAATGTAAGTTACATACAAGCCGAGTTAGCTGTGAAAGAAAAAAACTATTGTTAAAGCTGGCTTGTAGGGATTGAGGTAGCCCATCCTAGACAAAGCATATATAGGTCTAATCCAAAGAAGGAAACTTTTATCCAATGAAAAGACTTCATAAGACAATTATCTGGGAATATCTGCTACTGAGAGTACTTTTAAAGTGATACTTCGTCGCCACAAGGCCTGTGAAGAAACTAAAGGGAGAAAAAAAAAACCTGTGAAATCATTGTTATTGTGCTCGAAGTCTTGGCGTACAGAGTATCTTATGAAAGAAAAAATAAAAGTTCTTTGTCTGGCAGTTAGTAAATTCTTATTCCACATTTCGGGAAAAGGTCGAACTAAAATGTAAGGGAATGAGATGCACTTATAGGAGTGTGTTTAGTAATGTATTTAAAAATGCATATGGAATGAATTGATGTTTCTTCTTCTTCAGATAATTTTAAATGATTTTGATATAATAATATCAAAACCATTATAAAAATCTTACACTAATATTGTTACTTCTAAATCCTAGAATAAAACACAGTGAATTTGCGTTGGATTAGACTAGAATGTAATTAGAACAACATCTGGTCTATCCAAGATAAATCGTATTTGTGGAACATTCAATCCAACCAATCATTCCGGCTCAACACAAAATATTAATTTACTGTTTAAACTTCTTCTTTGCAGGAAAAAAAATAAAAATAATTCACCAGACAAGATAAAAGTATTAATCATGAGACTCTCTCTCACACACACAATGTGTCAGAAGTCCAAAAAAAAAAAAAAAACAAAGGATGTATAAACCCAAGGTCCGCGTGCTAAGCTGCTGTTTCCCTTCCTCGCTCTACCAGAGGACCAACCAAATAGTACTATTGGATGTCAAAATTATAAAATAAAGCAGTTTCATAAGACAAAACACCTTAAATGGGAATGTCGAGTTTATACCCTCTTAAGACAACCCTTTCCTTTTTCTTCTCTATCTAACATGCACACACACACACATGTAGTTTTATAATTTCTGCAATAAAGTCACAAAATAAGTAGATACTCGTTCGACAAACATTCAATGACAATTCAAGCATCAAAATCAGAAAGAGACATTCCCAATTTCTTAAAAAAATAAAAAATAAAAAATTGCAAATCATTAAGACAAAACAAAGAATAATACACAAATCATAAAAACAACTGTGAAAATAATAATTATCAGTGTTTTCTCAAACAAACAAAAACTAAGACACATTGAGAACAAATACTATACAAATCACACAGAGATCAAGCAATGATAAAAAGAATAGAGTAAGCAGATGGATGGATGGTACGTACCAAGAATCGGTAGCATATTCAAAGAGCTTCCCTTTAGTGGAGAAGACAATCAAAGCAACCTCAGCATCACAGAGGACAGAGATCTCATGGGCTTTCTTCAACAAACCTGACCTTCTCTTTGAAAAAGTCACCTGTCTATTGATCTTGTTTTCAATTCTCTTCAACTGAACCCTACCTCTCCCCATACTATATATGAATATCCCACAATTGATTCAGCAACTGAAGAGAGATCAGAAGAGTTTTTATATATATATCTAATTTTTCGGTTGAGGTAGCTAGCAAGCAAGATTTTTATTTTCTTTCTTGGGGAGTTCGTGCGGTGCTTACACTGTGACGTTTGTGAGAGAGAGAGAGAGTGATATAGAAAAGTATGCAAACTACTTTGGGAAAGCAGAGAGATATTGGTGGTTTTTAGAAAACAATGGTGGTTTCGTCAAATGCGTTGTCGATATTCTGTAGGCTGGAGGGTTACTGTTTTTGGCACTTTTCAACCTTTCAACCCAAAAGGTTGCTGTCGTCCGTACATGCAAGATTGCACGGACAGCGTATGTAAGTTTCTGCCTTCTTTTTCTTTTTTTTTCCCCTTAAAAGAAGAAAGTTTAGCTAGTGAATAGTAACGATCATTTCTTTTTCTTTTTTATTGTCTAATAAGCATTTCCATGCTTGGATAAATCAGTGAATCGCAGGTCTATCTCGTTTGACGGCGCTATTCCCTTTGAATATTTACGGGGTTTCGTTATTTAGGTCTTTTTTCCGTGGCTCATGATTACCGCTACTTTAAAGTCCTCCCTCTTTTTTTTTTTTTTTTCAATGAAAATCAATGTGGATTAAAAAAATATATATAGAAAAACAGCAATTAAGCCAATGGCTAAAGTGCATGATTGTAAAAGCCAAAACATTACAGTCAGGCTATAAATTCATCACGCCTTTCTAATTCTTTACTTTATTTTGCTAGTTAATTCGTCATTGCATTTGTTTCTCCAAAATTGGAATTGATGGTATATTTTATTCCTTTAAACTCTATATTTTTTTACTCTTTATGTCTCACAAAGATTGTTCCTCTTTACATTTGTATCGACTTTAAAATAATTTTCTAATTAAGACTTTAAATATTATATTTGAAAGAAACATCTTTATCTTTTTAACAGATATAAATAAAAAGGAATGAAAGGCTATTTAGAAATAAGTAAAAAAATTGATGTGTCATAACAATTAATATATTTTTAAACTCTGTGAAAAATAAAAAGAAACTAACACTACGAGATAAAATAAATACCAAAATATCTCTATTTTTTTTATTTTATCCCTTTTTTATTCATAGGGTATTTTAAGCTCAAACGTTCGGACTAATCCATTCATGCTTGGTTGGAAGCACAACTATTAAAGAAGTTTTTTGTATATATAAAGAGTGAAATCCAAAACCACTTATTTAAACAACTAAAACTCCTTCCGCTCAAGTCAACGCTCTTAAGTTATCTTATCCCTTTATTCTATATATTTCTTTAACGCGATCCTTCAATTATGATCTTATTATTATTTTTTTTTTGTGTGTTCACACATGTCAAGAATATTTGGATTTTATGCTTGGATTTTTTTTTTTAAAAAAAAGAGGAAATATTAGAACAAAATCAAAACTACAATTTCAATGATAAATAATTCAAAAAACAATTATTAGATTGAAAATTTGAAAATTGAAAAGCATTTTATAAACAAAATGAATGGAGTATTTAAAATATTCTATTGTCCCAAAAGAAAAAAAAATGTTAAATCACTCTTTTTTTTTTCATTTTCAGTTTTAAATTTTCAATAAAATGTAACTTTAATTTTTTTTTTTAAATCTAGATTTTTAACTTTGTTTTAAATTTTTTATAATTGGGTGACTTTTATATTTCAAATTCTTTACTTCAAGTACATTTACATTGAAAATTTGAAAAACAAATAAAATAAAGAATAGCGTTTTAACATATTTTCCTTTTTCTCTTTTTTAATATTTAAAGAATTTTGTAAATAATCCTCTTTTTTTTTCTAAAGGATTTTCAATTTTCTTTTTCCATTTTTCAAACTAATATTTTTGTAGGAATTTTGAAATTGTAATTTTCATTTATTTCTAATATTTCTCAAGTTTTTTATTTTTAATATTATTCTCTATTTTTTATTTTATTTTTCAATGTTTTGAGTGTAAAATTCTATAGTTTTGACATGTGTCCACATTTAATGGAAAAAAATAGATTGAATCATATTAGAGGAACTACATTAAAAAAATAAAAATTAAAGAGATTAGATAAATAAAAAAATAATCAAAAAACAACATTAAGAAAATTAAGATAAATAATAAAAGAAAAAAATATGTTATTAATCGTTGAAGAATGTGAGCAAGGCTAACCGGTTTTAAGAGCCCAAGCAAGACGGTAATGTTATTATTTTAGTTAAATTTTTAATTTATTTATTTAATTGAATTAGATAAACATAATCATTTTACTTACCTTTCGGGAACAAACAAATTCAGTAAGTTAGCAGTAACTTGAAGCCATTATACCAATTACCTTCTATTATTTATTTCAGACTTAGCTAGCTAGTGAAGAAGCTAAGAATCAATTGCAAGGCTAACACTTATTTGTTTGTATTGTAGTAAACTCGTTAAATATAGATTCAAGTGATAGAGTTATAGTTATAGTAAATTATTGAAAGTTAGAGTTACTATTATAGGGACTAACACAGTTATAGAGACTAACTCTTATCTAACTTCTATTATAATATGAACACTCAAAAATTTATCTTTATCATCCTCTCTCAAGTTGAACAACTGGAAGAACGATCAACTTGGTAACTTCATGGTAGAATTTGCATTTGGATAGGAATTTGGTCATCAAATCGCCTAACTAATCCTCAATAGAAATATAACGTTCAA